CCACTATACATGTGTATATGTATGTATTTTCACTGTACACATGTGTATGTTTTTTTCACTACACAGGCATGTATTTTCCCATTGTATGTGTGTTGGGTAGTATGGATTTTTTTCATTGTATTGTGTATGAATGTAGTTTTCCATTGTATCGTGTATTTGGGGCTCTGGGGGTTACCCCATCAGAGTCCCAGGGTTATTCAAGCACTTGGGCCAAGTGGTAGGGCAGGGGAAGGAAAGAAGGTGGGAAGGGAGCCACATTTGGGCTGGAAAAACTGGTTCCAGGGCTGGAGTGATAGCACAGCGGGTAAGGTGTTTGCCTTGCACGCAGCCGATCCGGGTTTGATTCCCAGCATCCCACATGGTCCCCCGAGCACCACCAGGAGTAATTCCTGAGTGCATGAGCCAGGAGTTAAGCCCTGTGCATCGTCAGGTATGACCCCAAAAGCAAAAAATAAATAAATGAAAGGAAAAACTGGTTCCATGATGTGTCCCTTAGTGTTCCTTTTTGCCCAATGCATGGGGTTCTGAAGACCCGCTAACCGGGGTTTGAGTTTGTTTCCAAAGCCCTTGTACAGCTGCTAAATGCTGGGACCCGGCCATCCTGGTGGGTCTTGAAGAGTTTAGAGAAATGGGTGGGAGTCTTCCCCAAGACGAACAGTTGCCCTGAGCTCTGGAGCCCCTCTCCCCCCGTGCTCCCCACTTCCAAGCAGGCCCCCCACAAGCTGAGGAACATGACCCCATCCCCCACTCCCACAGTCCTTTGCCGATGAGTCATGAACAAACCATACACAGAGAGAGGTTGCGATTTTTTTTCCTTCTTCAATTTAATTGAAGTTACTTAGAAAAATAATCAGGCTTGAATGGCTTTTCGTGGAGGAAGGTTCATGAACATTTCATCTTTTGTTGGCAATGTGGAATTCAGCTTTCTTGAACAGCACAATAAAATACAGGGAGAGTTTTCTACAACAAGCCCTCTATGGCATACAGATATGGATAAAGACCGAAAACAAGTAAACAAAAAACCAACACCAAAAAAAAAATCACAAAAACCAAAAAAAAAAAAACCCCAAATCAGGCTGCTTGAAGAGGTTCTGTTCCATGCTCATGTGGCACACAGAGCATGCTCAGAGGGAAACAGTGGCAGCCCCGGTACCTGACAAAGAGTCGCAGGTAGGGATTTGCCTGCTCATGGCCAAAGGTCAAGACGGATTCCCAGGGTCCTGCTGCCCATTCCCCGGGGGAGGGGCCAAAGGGTTGAACTGGGAAAAGGCGGGCTGTGGGATGGGCAGGGGGCGATGAAGTCAGACCTGCTGACAGGAGGGCAAGGGAGGGACTCTGACCACAAGGATAGGGCAGCTGTGGGGACAGGGACCTGGGGTGGGGGGGGGGGGGTAGGACCAGGCTGAGAGGCACCACCTGAGCACGCCCACCAGCTCCTCTCCAAGCTAGAAGAGGGTCTTTTGTGGACCATGCTTTCCTCCTGGCCCAGACTCTGCCATTTAAGGAGCTGAGGGACTCGCTTTTGTTCTGGAGATTTCCAAGCAGCTTCCATGCCTTTGCCAAAGGGACGGTTGGCCCAAGTTTCCGTGCCCCAGCAGTCTTGGATGGCAGCAGAGTCTGAATGAGCCCAGAACGGACACCAGTAGGAAGCGGACCTGTCTTAGGCACCAAATTCCCAGACCCACTTGGGAAGGGGGCGGGGTTGGTCTTGGGAAGCTGCAGAAACATCATGTGTCTCCTGCAGATGATAATCTAGACTTTTCCAGGCAGAGAGAGTGAGCAGGAATGCCCTGATGAATCCCCTAGACTGTACCTAGTTTGCAAATACTGCAGTACCTTTGACCAGGGGCTCTGAGGTGTGTGGGGGGGAAGGTCTCCATCTGTACTTTTCTCATGTAAGCATGCCAAAAAAAGTATTTGCAAACAATTTTTTTAAAGAAACAAAACAAAACACACTTTTGTTTTTTTCCAGGCACATTTTCACCTCTGAACTTTTTTTTTTCCCCTCAAAATCAGGACACAGACTACATTTTACATTCTGCAAAGAAAAAAAAAGAGCTCAATAGCGGGAGAGGTGGGGGGAGAAAAAAAAAGTTATTATTATTATTTTTTTTGCCATCAGAAACTAAGAGGTGAACCCAAACACAACACGAGGAGAAAGCGACCCTCATTGTGTGACCCAGATTGGTGGATCGTCCCTGGGAGGACAATCTATCTCACTTGAGAGTGAGAGAAGGCAGGAGGAAGAAGGCAAAAGGCGCATGCGCGAATGCGCGCACGCTCACAGTCAGACAGACAGACAGACGCGAATGTGCGCAATGGAGAGAAGCTGCACTGAGGGGTGGGGTGGGGGTGGGGGTGTCCATGGAGCAACCGAAAAGCGTAGCGCGAGCAACTGCAGCATGTGGGCGGGCTCGCCAGGGGCTCAGCTCACGCTGCTCCCCCTGAACCACCTTTAAGTCCCGGGAAGCAGCAGGGAGGCGAAAGGGGGACATGCGGTTGCCCGTGGTTGTGTCCAGGATTCGAACCCTTGCACTTAAGAACTGGATGCTCTTGATAAAGTACTTCGGAGTATGAAGACAGCAGCCATGCTCTGTTTGGGGCTGGGGTGGAGAAGGCTGGGGTATGCGGACCAAAGATACACGGAATCCAACTCCCCCAAAGCCTAATCTCGGGGAGATGATCTGCAAGGTCCAGGAATCTGGACATTGGAGAACTCTGCTACCAGCTTGATGATGTTCTAGGGGAATCCTAATGCACTATACAATGTCAAGGCTCTGATCAATTCCGCAGAAAGGAAACAGACTGAATCTTCTTGCTGTGCCCTCCCTTCCCACCCCCCCACCCCCCCACCCCCGCCCCCAGGCTATCCGAGCTAAAAGTCCTGAGTGAATGTCAGTGTTAGCCTGGTCTCTGAGAACCCTTGTTTCTGCACAACGCATGCCAGAAAAAATGCTGGCTGACTTGTTTCATTTGGACAAGCCCTCATGGTCAGGGCGGTTCCCAGCCTGGAACTTGGGTCCAGTGCCCAGTTCCAGGGACAGCCAAGGTCTGTGATGGGGCTGGGTAAAGCAAAATACATCTCATACATCTCTCTCCATCAAGGGGGAGAATCTCTGGGCCCTTCTCAGAGCGGGAGAGAACTCAAGGTTAATAGTTTCTGGAAAATAAATTATTCATTTTGTTTCGGTTGTTTAGAATGTTCTTCCCTTCAGTATCAACTGCATCAAAGACAAAAAAAAATGCAAAACTTACCCAGCCCTCCCCTCCCCCTCCCCCATTATTAGATGATTATTATTATTGTATATACAGTATCTGCTACCGACTCATACACTAGCTGTAAGGGGGACATGGCTCAAACTTTAACCCAGGCACCAGAAATGGCTGCAAATGAGAAAGTGTGTGCAGATGCCAAGGAGCGAGCACCGCGAGGAGGAGGAGGAGGAGGAGGAGGAGTCGCAGGCTGGGGGGGTGCAGTGGTGAGGGCGTCTGGGAGAAGCGCAGGAAGGTTGGCCTTCTGCTCATGCATAGCCTGGGGGAGAAGGAGACGTGCTGTGCAGGCGATTCTGGTCTTCAGAGGGGTAAAATGCCAGCCACCGTCAAGCCCTCAAGACGGAACTCTGGGCCCAGGATTTCAATCAGGGACAAGGTCAAGCTGAGTCCAGAGCTCTGGCTCTGGGAGCCACGGAGGCTGGTCTGTAGATGCCAGAGTCCCCCTCCCCCATCCAAGGTGGGTACCACTGATCAGCAACATCTCTGCTCCATCTCATCTCCCGGCTGATCTGATGTGGGGCAGAAAGGCAGATGCTCTCCAGGCATCGCTTTCTGTCTTGGCCATGTAACTTGGATCTCTCCTCCAGCGAATTCGCCTGCTCTAACGTGTGGTTTTCAAATCTGGGCAAGAGGCAAGGGGGAAATGCACATCTGCCGGGGCCTCGTGGGCCCTTTGGTGTACGAAACCTCATGTGAAGTCCCAGATTATCAGGGATCTGCTCACTGCCAAGCTGAACCTTCTGCGTCTACCGAAAGCTTCCTGAGGGGCAAGACTGTTGGTTTGGTTTCCGTGTTCTATCTGCAGAGCCTAGGAGTAGGCCTAGCACTGAATAGTTGCTCAATAAATACTTGCAGTCTCTTTTAAAGTGATAGCCTCTGTTCTCACTGGCACTGCCAGTTTCAAATTTCTGTAGAAAAGCCTATTCTAGTGGACTGCGCGTTCTGGTGAAAAAAGCGGGGATGGGGAGTGGGAGGGGGAGAGGTAACATCAGCTCTCTCCTTGGGTTACAAAAAAAAAAAAAACACCTCACATTTCTTGAGTGCAAGGGAGACTTCTGGGTCGATAGGCATTCATTTGGACTCAGTGGAGTGAAACTGCCTCTTCGCGTTTCTGGCAGTTTCCAGAAGGATGGCATCAAGGCAAGTCACAATGGTGCCCTCACAGTGAAGTTCTGAGCGGGGGTTGGGCAGGAGAACATTCCCACCCCAGAAGGGGCTGGAGCAAGCACAGAAGGAAACAACCAGTTTCCTTCCGCAAAGTCACCAGGGTCTTGCTGGCACGGAAATAAATCTGTACAGAGACCGTGTTTAAATAGCTATAAATAATATTAACCCGAACTTAGGGAATGCCCCGTTCAAGGCATTCGCCGGCATACAAGGACCCCTTTGAGACAGTGATGCAGCGTTGATGTCGGCAAACAAGAACACTCATCCCCCACGCCCTGCCCCCTGGAGCTGTCCTTCCCGCCCACGGAATTTAAATAATTCTCACCTATGCTGCTCGCAGCATCTCATCCCCACGCGAAACAATTAATTTACAAAATAACCCAATATCTATAGAATTCTTTTGACAAATAAAAATCTTAAATTAAAAAAAAAAAGAAAAAGAAAAGAAAAACGAAAACAACAACAAAGCACGGAGGACGTGGCTCTCCTGCTGGCCCCACCCGGGTCTCCCCCTCTCTCTCCCCCCCACCCCGCCCCACCCCACCCCAGCCCCACCGCCGTCATTCCAATTTCAGGTAGCTTGGCACTGAGTAATTGAACATTAAAAAATCGAGTTTGTAGACTTCGTAGAGCTGCGTTTGGTGCTCGGCGCTGATGTTCTGGAAGAACTCCGTGGTCATTTCGTCAGTAGTTCTGGTGGACTTGGCGTAGGTGGGGAACTTCAGGTAGCTGCCCACGCCGGCCAGCTGCAGGACGTAGTTGGAGTCTTCCTCCAGCGTCTCGTACTTGCCCACCAGGTCGTAGCGGATGTGGCACGGGTGGCAGAGGGAGTGCACGGTCTGCCAGTGCTCGTTGAAGGGCTCCTCGCGCTGCGTGTGCGGGTCGATGAGATAGGCCACGAACTCCTCGAAGCGCACGTCGTCGCCCTTGCGCAGGGCCTCCTGCGTGGCGTTCTTGCGCTGGCGCCGGATGATCTTGGTGCCGTAGCGCTTGTGGAAGGACGTGTTGTACTTCTGCGTGAACTTGTTGCGGTAGGCGGACACCAGGCGCTCGAAGGGCTCGCGCACGAACAGGAACTTCAGGTAGCTCTTCAAGCGGTGGTTGATCTCGGGGATGCTGTACTGGTTGAGCGTCTTCAGGTTGGCCGACACGTGCGCCTCGTTGGCCGGGATCTCCATGGGGTCGCTGTACTTGCCGCGGCCCGTCAGCACCATCATCAGCCGCTTCCAGTTGGTGCACGCCACCTTGGGCACGTAGCAGTAGATGAGCTCGTGGTCCTCGTCCACCACCAGGTGCTTCAGGTCGCTGGGCGTCAGCACCCGCCGCTTGCGGCTCGCCGCGCTGTTGGCCCGGCACGCGTCCGTCACCTGGTCGCGCCGCATCTGGTGCAGGACCGCCGTGTTGGAGAGCTCCAGCTGCAGCGGGGAGGGGGCGGGAGGGGAGGGGAGGAGAGGGGTGGAACGAGAAGAGAAGGGCGGGAGAGTCAGGCTGGGAGGAAGGGCGGCGGGGGTGGTGGTGCTCCCCACCCAGCAGCGGCCCTTAGGGCGCAGCGGCCTCCCAGGACCTTGGATTGCCCTTCCCCAGTGTGTGTTGCATGTGTGTGTGTTCGACCCAGGACCATGGAATTGTCCTTCCCCAGTGTGTATGACTCTGTGTGTGTGTGTGTGTGTGTGTGTGTGTTCAGCCCCAGGACCTTGGATTGCCCTTCCCCAGTGTGTGCTGCATGTGTGTGTGTTCGACCCAGGACCATGGAATTGTCCTTCCCCAGTGTGTATGACTGTGTGTGTGTGTGTGTGTGTGTGTGTTCAGCCCAGGACCTTGGATTGCCCTTCCCCAGTGCGTGTGTGTGTTTAGCCCAGGACCTTGGGATTGCCCTTCCCCCAGTGTGTGTGTGTGTGTGTGTGTGTGTGTGTGTGTGTTCAACCCAGGACCTTGGAATTGTCCTTCCCCAGTGTGCGTGTGTGTGTGTGTGTGTGTGTGTGTGTGTGTTCAGCCCAGGACCTTGGAATTGTCCTTCCCCAGTGTGCATGTGTGTGTGTGTGTGTGTGTGTGTGTGTGTGTGTGTGTGTAGCCCAGGACCTTGGAATTGTACCTCCCCTGTGTGTGTGTGTGTCTGTGTTCAGCCCAGGACCCTGGAATTGCCCTTCCCGTGTGTGTGTATGTGTTTGTGTGTGTGTTCAGCCCAGGGACCTCATATCCAGGACATGTCTGCTCTATGGCGGGGCCACACCCCCCAGACTTCCAGGCCTGGCCTTTCACTAATTACTTATTTCTCTTTCTTTATGTTTTGTTTTGGGGCATGCCAGCAGTGCTCAGGGGTTACACCTGGCTCTGCACTCAGAGAATCACTCCTGGAGGGCTTAGGGGACCCTATGGGATGCCGGGGATGGAATCTGGGTCTGCAGAGCGCAAGGCAAGAGCCCGACCTGCTGAGTTCTCTTTCCAGCCCTACCTGCTTCCTATTTCTAATGTTAATTGGTGGGTTTGGCAATACCAAGCACCTCCCCCCCCCCATGGTGCCATGACCGGCTGCTGGGCAGTGGAGATGGAGATGCAGCGACTGAGAGGGGGCGGTGGGGGCTGGAGAGACAGTACAAGCCTCCCTCCCTGGCTCGCAAACCACCACCTTCTCGCTGCGTCTTCCCTAATCCACTCCTCTGGGCTCACATGCCCCTGGGGTCTCTCCCATGGGTCAGGCTGAATGGGGTACCCACCCTGCTGAGCTCATTTCAGCAGAGACAGCCCTCTGCAGACTCCAGATGCTGCTGGAAGGGATGGGAGTTGGATTCCAGCGCGTGAATTTGGGAGGAGACTTCTTTCAGCCTACCTCCAGGGGGCGCTGCAGCTGCCGTGCCGAGGGAATGACCCATCTACTGCAGATGTGCAGCTTCCTAATTACAGAACCCAGGTCTGCGGCCAAGACACTCCCTCCAACCCCAGCTTCCTCCCCTTTCTACTCCCTTTCATCTCTCCCAGAGTATCAATTAGGTCAGAGGAAGGCCGATTCTGGGGGACCCGGAATGGCTCTGGCCTCTGGGCCGTGTCCTGCTTCCTTGCCGAGATGTCTATTTTTAATCAGGATATGTTTAAAAAAAAAAAAAAAGGCAACCGTAATTACTGTCGGGCCCAAATTTAGGTTGTGTTTGAAAAAAAAAAAGTCTTTAAAACTTTACAACGGTTCATCTTAAAAGGAAGAGAAGCGCCTCCCTTAAATTAAAACATCCTCAGTTGGTGTTTACGACTTCCCTCGGACACAGAAACCCCCCCACAGGAGGAGCAGCTGGGGTCCCCAGGTGGAGATGAGGAATGCCAGGCAAACCCAGAGGAAAAGCTTAATTTGGAAGCCTCCAGGGAGTGAGGGTTCGAATCCGCCTCTAACAACCACTTGTGGGGGCTGGAGAAAGCACAGTGGGTAGGGCGCTTGACTTGCATGCTGCAGACCTTGGTTCAATGCCACGCACCCCACATAGTCCCCTGAGCACGCCAGGAGTGATCTCTGAGTGCAGAGCCAGGAGAAACCCCCGAGGCATCACTGGGTGGGCTCAAAAACAAAACTGAAAGAAAACAACAACACACAAATAACCACCACTTGCTTGGCTCGAGCCTCAGTTTCTCCATCTGAAAATCCCACCATGGGCCCCATCCCTGCCAGCATCTTGACTGAACTGTCACCAGTGTGTCAATTGTAGGGTTGGAGGGATGGAGAGCCTAGTGATCCTGTTGGCTCTGATCTCTTTTCTTTTCCTCTGGCCCAGAAATACCTGTCTGGACTTATGTGGAAACAAACAAAAACTAGTTAGGGACTGGAGTGACAGCACAGTGGGTAGGGTGTTTGCCTTGCAAGCGGCCGACCTGGGTTTGATTCCCAGCATCCCAAATGGCCCCCCGAGCATCGCCAGGAGTAACTCCTAAGTCCAAAGCCAGGAGGAACCCCTGTGCATCGCCAGGTGTGACCCAAAAAAGAAAAAAAACAAACAAAAAACTAGTTAGGAGGTAGTGACAGAGAAGTCATACCTAGGGGGGAAAAAAGGCGGCTTCCACTGCCTGAATGTTTCCCACACACCAGCTATTCCGAGTCCCCGTGCGCTCGATGTCCTTTGAATAAGAAATTTGCTATTGGGCTGGAGCGTTGTATTGCAGGAAGGGCACTTGCCTTGCGTGCAACCGGGTTCAATTCCACTACTGCGTATGGTCCCCCCGGCCCCGGGGCCTGCCAGGAGTGATTCCTGAGCACGGAGCCAAGAGTAAGTTTTAAGCACTGTCAGGTGTGCCCCCCAAATAAATAAAACAGAAACTTACTTTAAAAAAGAAAAAGAGGGGCCGGAGCCATAGCACAGCGGGCAGGGCGTTTGCCTTGCATGCGGCTAACCCGGGTTCGATTCCCAGCATCCCATATGGTCCCCTGAGCACTGCCAGGAGTAACTCCTGAGTGCAAAGCCAGGAATAACCCCTGTGCAATGCCGGGTGTGACCCCAAAACCAAACAACAACAACAACAACAACAACACCAACAAACAAAACAAAGCAAAAAAAAAGAAAGAAAGAAAAAGAAAGAAAAACTTGCTTAAGACCAGGGGGACAAGCAGCAGGGCTGGATCCAAGGAGCCTGTGCTCAACCGAGCACTGTCTCCCAGGTTTCCGCCCCTGCAGCTCCCTGGGGTCCCAGAGGTGCTGGACACCTGCCTGAGATGAGATGTGACTGCTCTGGGTGCACCTGCCAGGGGCTTCTGCTGCACGCAGCCGGACCTGAAGCCAGGTAGGCCTCGAGCACCAGCCTGCCAGTGAGCCTCCAGGTCCTCAGGGTCCAGTAGGACAGAGGCCAGAGGGCCACAACAGGCTGTGTCCCCCATGTCCTCACGTCCCCGTAGGAATAATATGCTTTAGAGATGGCGTTCTTCGACCTGTCGACAGCCAGGGGCCAGCTGGCAACCCAAAATGGTCTCCTAAGCCCGCCAGGAGTGATGCTTGAGCACAGAGCCAGGAGTTCAGCCCTGAGCATCATTGGTTGGGGCCCTCAAACTAAAACAGAGAGTGGGGGAGGTGGAGAGACTAGGCAAACTGTTCTGAATATCTTCTCTTTTGTAAAGAGGAGTTGGGAGTTACAGGCAGATTGGTCATTCCAGATGCTTCTGAGACTCCAGGCTGAATGGGGACATCTGACTTCCTCTTTCCTTCCAGCCCGAAAGCCAGAAGGAGCTTCCACCTTTTCCCAGCCCTAGGGAAGTTTTTCTTTTTTTTTTTTTTTAAATTTTTTATTAGTGAAACACCATGAAGCACAGTTGTAGACTTACAAATTTTTGTGCTTTGGGAAAACAGAATGGACGATTCTCAAAAAATTAGAAACTGAGCTCCCATTTGACCCAGCAATACCTGGGGAAGTTTTTAAAGCCAAGTCTGAGGAGACTTGCAAATAAGTTCTTGCCGCAGCCTTGTGAACAGGAATGGATTACAATACTGGATTACATCTAGAGGAACTTCTCACCCAATCAGAGCTGCAGCCCGTGAAAGGGAAGCGAAGGCTCTGGGTGGGAAGTGGGGAGAAATCACAGCTATTTGGTGTTTTATTAGGGCTGTTGTTGGTCCCTACGATCACAGACCATCAGCTCTTTCAGTATGGGATTTGGGGGGCTGGGAGGCGGGGGGGAGGTTGGACCATACCTGGCAGTGCTCAGGGTTTACTCCTGGCTCAGTAGGAATCAAACCGGGGTTGGCTGTGTGCAAAGCAAGTGCCTTATCCCTTATAATCTCTCCCCAGCCCTCGACGCTGGATTTTACCCCAACACATCCCGGGAAACTCAGCTGTCTGCTAGGACTGTTTCCTCCCTCCCCTCTGCCTGCCTGACTGTGAGGGACCTATCAGGTCTCATCAGCTACTTTAGGGTTTGGGGCCGGTGGGGGTGGGGGCATTTTCTGAGTGGGTCAGGACTCCCTGACTCCTTCAAAGTCTCTCTCATCAATCATTTGGGGGACCATTTGATTGTGTCCTCTCCTGCCCCCTCCCACACTCACTTGTCATGTTTGTGCACTGCGACGTCCCAGCATCTAGAATATAGGACTAGCACAAAGTAGATGCTCAATAAACTGTGGCCGAACAAGACTGAAATGAGACTACAGCGCCCTCCTGGGGTTCTGCGTGGAGGTTTCTGTCTTCACCACAGAAGCACTGGGACTGCCTCCCTCCCTTCCATTTAGGAATATCTGCAATGTTTAGGGTCATGAACTGGTCTTCTGGTTCAAGCTCAGCCCCCTTCACTCCCCAACTCCCCGAGACACCCCACTCACTCCAGTTTGGGACGAACCTGGTGTGCACCTGGGTGGGTCACCCGCTCCCATCTTTTCAGCCTAAATACTACAGCTGATGATGAGATTGGACGCCAGCTGTGAATCTAGCCATGCCCAGCTGGTTGGGATCACTG